TATTTATACAAGCTTCTGCTCGTGGAGTGATTGAGGATTTCAGCTCAGGGAGTAGCTACAAGTGATTCCTGCCAAGCTGTTTGGAAACTATGTTTCCCACAAGAAGCTACAGAAGTGCATACAGTACTTACACTACACACACACACACACACACACACACACACACACACACACACACACAATAAAGCAAACAACAGACACCTGTCTGTAGTTGAAACCAGTGTCTTTTTTTAGAATGCTGGTGACTCTCCCTCACAACTGTCAGCTTGGGACTTGTGAGTTTTTAATGTTAAACCTGGTAAAAATGTTAGCTCCAAGGCATTGAAGTATACAAAAAGGTCAACACAAAACATCAAACACATTGAACCTATACTTTGACAACTTCATCATGGGGACAGGAAAGAACCTTCCTCGCTCCTTCTGTCATCCCACCCAGGGCCCTTCTTGTGCAATACAGATAGGTTAATACAACATGTAATACACACTGGTGGGAAAATATAAACCTTGCATGTATAGGTAGACCTGAGCATGGTTGGCCACATCCCAAGTGTGTACAGATTTAGTTATTTATCAGTATTGCCAGTGTCTTTGACTTACAGCTACCCCAATCTAGATTTAAAAAATGGGGCTCACATTCCTACAATGTGCTACAAATTGATATGACATTTGAAAGATATTCTTAGTTTTCCAAAGAGAAAAACCTTTCATCTCTTTCTAGAAACTGAAAGCTGGTATATGTTAGGAGATGCTAAAAGATTATTCTGCTACACATTTTCTTTCACTCCCAGGACTCAAAAGCACCTGTCTGTAAATGCAAATGGGTAGAGAGCCTCACTAGGGTTCCCATCCCAAATCAAGTGGCTGCAGTGACGGGAAGCCATTGTAAGGTCATTTGAAGTTGTAGTGTTTGAATCTATTCCAAGTTGTAGTTTGCAGAATGTGGGGAAGAAAGCCAACTCTTCCGGTCTAATAACACTCCAAATTTCACTCAGTTCCTAAGTGTTTTGTCATTTTGCTGGCTGCTGTGACTGTCATTAAGCCTTTTACATTGTCAGTAGCTCTACTTGGAAATGTTATAAATCATGTCATGTGGTACGTTGCTGGTTAAAAAAAAAGTGAGTCCACAAATGCAATGAACTTGTAAGGATACTCCTCTCACTATCACTGGCTTTAAGTAGCTGAAAACTAGGGAAAGAAATCACAACAGGCCTTGTACATCTTTAAGTTCAACCAGAGAGCTGAGCCGCTGAGAGGAAAGAATCACACAGTGTCTGTCTTGCTTAGCTTTGTCAGCTGGATGCTTCCTACAGTGAGGGGAAAAGCCACAATGGAGGAGTTGCCCCAATCAGATTGGCTTGTGGACACCTCTGTGGGGAGAGTGTCTTGATTGCTAACTGATGTAAATGTAGGAGGTCCCATACTCCTGTGGGAGGCACCATTCCTAGCCAGGTGGTCCTGGGCTGTATAGGAAAGCTAGCTAAACACAAGCCTTCAAGCAAGCCAGAGAGTGAGCCCTGGGCAGCATTTCTACATGGTTTCAGCTTCAAGTTCCTGTCTTGAGTCCCTGCCCTGACTTCCCTCAGTGATGGGCTGTGGCCTGGAAGTACAAGCCAAATAAATCCTTTGCTCCCCTAAGTTACTTTTGTTCAGGATGTTTTTGTCATAGCTACAGAAAATAAACTAGAGCAATCTTGCTTTCCTTTGCTATACATATCAAATACATATGCATGTTCATATTTGTGGTATAGGTATGTTGTATGTAAAGGCTCTTATGCTGGCTAGCTTCATGTCACCTTCACACAAGCTAGAGTCATCTGAGAAGAGGGAACTCTTGTTGAGAAAATGCCTCCATAGTCTGGGCTGTAAGCAAGCCTGTACAACACTTTCTTAATTAATGATTGATGAGGGAGGGCCCAGTCTATTGTGGGTGGTACCATCCCTAGGCTGGTGGTCCTGGATTCTGTAAGAAAGCAGGCTGAGTAAGCCAGAGGGAGAAAGCCAGTAAGCAGCACTCCTCCATGGCCTCTGCCTCAGCTCTTGCTTCACGGTTCCTTTCCTGTTTTAAGTCCCTGTCCTGATTTCATTTAATGATGAACAGTGATATGGACTTGTGAGCCAAAGAAACCCTTTCCCCCTCAAGTAGCTTTGGTCATGGTGTTTTGTCACAGCAATAGTAGCCCAAACTAAGACAGCTCGTCTTGGGAATCTGCTTTCTCAGTGTCGACGATGATGCCTGTGATGATGGACAGGCAGAGATGATGCCCGTGATGATGGACAGGCGGAGATGATGCCTGTGATGATGGACAGGCGGAGATGATGCCCATGATGATGGACAGGCAGAAGGGAAGCCCACAGCCTTTTCTTCCTTTGCTGTGGGAACAGGGACCAGTGTCTTGTGTCAGTGGCTTGTAGACTATATAAGCAATGCAGCAGGGTTTATGAAGTGGCGCAGTGTTTATGGAGAACCTTCTGGAAATACCTACAGTATTAAACATGCATAGCCTTTCAGCTAGAATGTATACATCTAGGAACTGTCACAAAATGATTGAATTAGTTAATAAATATGTATATCTGAACAAGCATAATACTAGCCTGGCTTATAATACTGGAAAATCAGAAGTCCCCAGGAATGGACTAAATAAAGTGTGGTAATGTCACATGGTGAACTATATAATGAACTCACACTACTGACCATAAGCAGCTATTCTTCAACATTAAATAGAATGAGGTTGAATCAGGTAAATGTCTCTACTATATAGTCAGTGGTAAAATGTGTTATACAAATCACAGAGAATCTGATCAATTTTATTTTAGTAACAGTTTAATTGTAGTATAATTCATGCACTATAGAGTTCACCCTTAAAATATGCAAGTGACAGCCATTTATGTCATCTGTTTTTAGTACATCCCTCCCCAAAGAAATGACTACCTGGGAGCAGCCAATCCTTCCTCTCACTCACTCTGTGCCCTTGCCCTACACAGTGTCTGAACCTACCTCTATCTCTGAGAAAGTTTTTAAATGTCTATGTAAAGACATGTGTCAGTATTTAATTTCCTTTTATTGTTAAATAATATTTTGCATGATTATACTACATTTCCTTTTCCTAATCATCAGTAGATAGATATTTGAGTTGTTTCCACTTTCTGAACATTATGAATAGTAATTATAGGCACCATGTGCTAGTTTTGAGCTGAATATTATTTTCATTTTGCTAGTGTATAAACCCAGGAGTGGAGTTTCCAGCTTGCAGTTACTCCATGATTAACTTTCTACGGGAACTCTTAAATTGTTTTCCAGAGCAGAAGCACTGTTCTGTGTGCTCATACCCATACTGTGTGTGGGTTCCAGCTTTCCCACACGCTCACCACCACTCACTATTGTCTTCTCGCTGTGGTCATCATGTGGGTGGGAAGCATTTCATTGTGTTCTTTTGTCTTGTAACTCCCCAATGACTGCACAATTCTGAACTCCTTTTCACTGGCTTTTCAGCAAATTCAATTTACCCTTTAAAAATCTTATATAAGCAAATATACTTAGGAGGTCACAATACCAACATGCTGATAATGCTTCTGTTCACGGGGTGGGAATTATCATTTTCTACTGAGTCTCTGCATCAGTCAGGATGCTACCAGAGGAACAAAACCAACAGGATGAATGGGTGAATATACATGAGACTGGTCAGCCATGTCCAAACTCCACAGGATGTGACAATAAAGGGCAGGCTAGAGGTAAAACTGCAGTCCATACGCACAATTTCTTCTCCCTCGGGTAGACCTTGGGTCTACTCCAGAAGCCCTTTCAACTGATTAGAAGAGACCCACCCAGGTGCTCTAAAGAATCTCTTCTACTTTATGTCAATTGGTTGTAGATGTAATTATATCTACAAAATGCCTTCACTGTAATACTTAGATTACAGTTTGACTGAAAAACTGGCTACTACAGCCTATCCCAATGGACACAGACTTGGCCATCACAATCATCTTCTTTATTACTTGGTTATTTCAATGGGTTTTTTACATGTTAAACTACAAAACGTGTATTTTAAAAAATACCCTTTTTTTAAACAGTGGTATTTCTAATTTCACACCTGATTAATAATTGTGAACTTGTTCATCTTGTTGCCCCCAGTAAGGCTCAGAATGGTGGCTTGAATCTAGAAATCATTCCTTTTGGGTTATGCTAAGACTTCTATTATTTAGCTTTGAGTCCACAGAAAAAAATTACATAAGCTGGGGATATAGCTCAGTGGTAATATGTTTACCTACAACCAACATACAAGACTCCAAATTTGATCTCTGGTAATGATTTAAAAAAAATGAAAGTAATAAAAAATTAATACTTCTAAGATGCAATCACACAGATTGAATATCTTTGTTCTAAAGAAAGGAATGGGGTGGAAGGGGCCAAACCAGATTGGAACTCTTCTTCAGGTTGGACATCAGACATATGTGGGGGCAAGATGTGGACCTCAAGGACTTGGCCAACCCCACCCCCATAGCCTTCTTGGCCAAAGCCCGAAGTGCCTTCCCCAGCTGGCTGTGATCACTGGCAGGAATTTCCCCAGCACATATTTCCTGTTCATGTTTTCCTGACATCCAGTGATCTCCACTGCAGTATAGGCTTCACCCTTACAGCTTCTCACCATGCCCTCTCAGGGGCATACTTGCAATCATGTTAACCATGACATGCAATTGCCTGCCTCCCTAGACTTTCCTTAGTAATCTTGGTGGAATTCTCCATCACCCCGTCGTAATTCCTACATTCTAGGTACCTGGAAAACTAGCATCATATGAATGATATTAAGGACAGTTCCCAGGGGGACTAACCAGGTCTCCTTGTAAATATCCTTCGATGCCTATGTAATGATACGGCATGGAAGCCGTATTTGTTTGTTTGTGTTTGGAGCCAGGGTGCCCCACGGTGGGTGAGAGACTCTGACACCATGCTGGCAGCACTCAGTGAATAGTTTTATTTGGTAGGAGGGAAGAGAGAGGGAAGGGGGAAAGGAAAAGGGGGGGAAGATGCACACCTAGTAGGAATGAAAGGAAAGAGAGAGGGGGAGGGGGAGTCTTTTTTTTTTTAAAGGAGACTTTACAGCAGGATGCAGGGTGGGTCCCCAAGGGGTGGGCCAGAATGCCAGCACTCCTCCATTGTGATTATTATAAAAAGAAGAGTTATGGATAGCAAGTGGGGGAATAAAGGCACTGAATTCTTGAGACTGCTTCCTGCTGATATTGGATAAAGTGGGAGGGGGAAATTGGGAGTTCAGGGTCACACGCCTGGCAGGAGGTATGAGTGAAGAAGGATTTAGTTGATGTCATTGTGAAGATCTCAGGTGTGGAAATCTCAGGCATCTGTTCCTTGAAGGAGCTGAGCAGGCAGGTTGCTAGGAGGAAAAAAACAGATTATCACTGGACTTATGAGCTGGGCTAGCCATGGGGAGAGTGATAACTGCCAGAAAGAATGGAATACAGAAATGCCCTGGTTGTACGGAAGAGCCAAGGGTGAATGAGTGAGACATGAGAACAACTATGCCCTTTATTGAGACAACTTGGAAAACCAGGCTCTGCTTGCTGGGTAGGTGCCTGCTTGAGCCTGAAAAGGTGGTACCGGCAGTTAATTGAGGAATGATGTGTTCTTTAGGAGTATATGAGACATCACATCTGTTGTTTCTCTGGAGGTGGGGGTGCATCCATCCCAGTTGGCGTCCTTGGTTGGTGGTTGGCATCCTCAGAGCTGGTGCAGGAGGTGGTGTATCTGGAGGACACTTTATGGGTTGGCCTTGGCCCAGGCAGGAGTGAAATTGCAAAATATGCTCAAAAATGTGTGGGTGGGGTTAAAATGGGCTCTGGAGACTGTTAAGTTTTTGTCAGACCAGATTTCTTGACATAGAAGCAGAACTTTTCCTAGGAGCCTTCAGGTATCTGTCAGACAGCTAGAATGGATTTACATCCTGGTGTCATAGCAAAAGGCTATGGCTTTAGGTTAAAAGGCATGAACATTTTCTGGCTTCAGCCCGATGAAACTTATCTTTAAATCTATATCCAGAGGAAATTTACTGAGTGGAAGTGGTTGAGTGAGTGAAGGAGGAGGGAGGCTTTCCTAAACATCATCAGAGTGAACAGAACTGAGACAGCTTTTCTGTCTTCATATAAATAAACCTTGAAGCTATTTCTTTATCAGATTCTCCAGAGGATACCAAGAGCAGTCAATAGTAAAACGTTATATTAAAATTTGTTCTGTGAGTTTATCTGATCTGATAACAAGGTAAATTGTGTCTAGACCTCGTAGCAGCCCTAGGACAGGGAGATCTATGAATTTTACATAGAGAATTGAGAAGGCAGCTGAAGCAAAGCCTGGTCATCCAATGGAATCAGAGCTCTGAGAAGGATAAATTTTACCTGAGTTAGCAATTGAAAGTGACAGAGACTTACTTGTTGGCTACCTAGATAACCACCCCAGGGTCTTCCATGGTCATTGAGGGCAGAGTTCTCAGGTCAACAACATCATTCTTTTGCTGCCAGGCCTCAGAAGATCTGATGGTTGTGGGATAGGCACTTGTGGGAAGGACCAGCCTACTTTGTCTAGGCAAAAGTGAGGCAATGGATTCCTGGAGTCCTGTTGTCCATGGTCTGCAGAAGGCCCTGGCAGCAGTTGAGGTTCTTCTGTGCCCATCTCAGTGGCTGATGCTGCCACTCTGGAGCAAGTTCTGGGTGGAGGTTCTTCTGTGCCCAGCCTTCTTCTTTGGAGGATATAAAGGTCCTGCCAGGATCCAGCATGTCCCTCTATCATGAAAAGCTTTTTAATTAAACATTTTAGATGCCATATTCTGCAGATCTCTGAAGTATCTGAAGACTGTCCGGGTATATCTAAATAGATAAACTTTGTTTCTAGTTTTGTTTTAAGCTCAACCCTGGAAACATGTGCAAGAGACTAAGTAAAGCTTATCCCTGTAGTTTTGATCTTTGAGTACAGCCAGATTATAATCCTGAATGATTTATATAGAAACAATTATTTCTTAAGGTCATATAATATCTCTTTTGTTCTGCATAAAGGTCAAGTGTCTTATCCTACTGCAGAACCATTTTAGTTGATAAATCTATCAATTGACAATATTGGATCCAGTTTCCTGGTATATCAATGGGCATTAGGTAGACAATTTGTCCCCAATGCCAGGAGTTTTCCTTTGACATACCTCTTTAGCCTGTTTGTTTGTTTGTTTGCTTGTTTGTTTGTTTGGAGGGAGCAGGGATGACACTCTTCTATAGCTGCTTCAAGCTGAAATGGGGAGCAGGTGGTCAGAATCCAAGGGGGCCAAGAGGCTAGTCAAAAGTAAGGAGGGAAGCCAGGCAGTGGGGTATTTATGAAAAGCATGTGGTTATCTGATCTGACTGTAGAGACAGGGAAAAATTACACTTGGTTGAAGTGGTCCACATCATATCAGCCTTCCTCAAGTCTAGAGCTTATCATCCTTTGGAGAAGATTGCAGCAACTGATGCTTAGATGTGTCTTCCACAAGCAAGCCAGTGGAAATCTGTCGAAGCAGATAGATTAGAGACAAAAGTTAAAATTTATGAGCTTATTTGGAGCCTTTGGTCCCATGGTCTTAGTAATCAAGAAAGGCAGACCAGGAGAGAGAAAAACACCATTTTCAGAAATAGACAGGTGAGGAAAACTCATTTATCTGGAGCTATCTTGACCTCTGTAAAGTGGATCCAATGACTTCTTTTGATCCTCTGAGGCTTATATAAATTCTTATTTTATAAAAGGACATAAAAGTTTTAGATATATTAGTATTATCAACCAGTATTGAAATTTAAATCATAGAAAAGCAGGTGCAGGTAATGGATATTGAGGCTCATACCTTTGAGTCCTAGCAAAATTATAGATTTGGGTTAAAAGGTATGTATAATTTTTTGTTTAGAGAGAGCCAGATACAGACTGGACAGAGATTCTTTGGCCTGATGAGAAGTTTAAGTTTATATTTAGAAGGCAACCAAGGAATATTTAAAATCCTGAGCTTGTGACACAAGCAATATGAGAATTGTGTTAATGTTAAAATCTAAACTTTTAAAAATCTTAATATAACAATATCATAGAAGGGGAAAGTAATCTGAAGCATTTAAATCATTAGTTTATGTCAAGAGACTTAGTAGCTTTAGGAAAAGTAAGGCTTGATTTTTTTTATTTATCTATAAAATGAGCTGGCAAGTTGGTCCTATCACCAGCATGTGGAGCCTGGGGCAGAGGAGGGGGGCAGCGGCAGTGGAGGAATGAACACCAGGATAGACTGGACCTGCTGGGCATTGGCATGAGGTGGTGCTTTCTTGACCTACCCCCTGTACAGATGGATTGAGTGCTGGGCACCCTGCCCATGCTTGAGCCACTGATAGGAAGTGATTTTTTTGCTGCCCTTAGGAAAGATGGCAGTGAGGTCATACAACCTGTCCTCTTTGGCCTTAGCCAAGATGGCATCTGCCCACTTGACTGCCCTCTGGCGTCTGACCACGTGTTCACCAGGGTTTTTCCCCCCTTTTTTTCCAGGACAAACTGAACAGATTATAAACAGATAAACAGAAGCATTTAAGAGTCCATCAGAAATACATACAGGTGGCCACATCAATCATGTATTTTTATCCACACATAAGAAATAGACTTTTTGAAAGAAAGACAGAGAAAATTTTTTCCAGGAAACTTTTACAGCTAATGTATTGGACCTTGGAGGCAGTGCTGTAGAGGAGATTGGGAAACAGAGCAGCAGTGTAGCCAGGTGGGAGAGAGGCCCCCCTCCCCCTAGGCCATGTCACGGCCATGGTGGCTGCAGGAGGAGAAAACCAGAAACAGACAAAAAGAAGGATGAGGCATTTAGGTGGTATGCATCTTTTCCACAGTGAGGAAGAAGGTCCAACAGACTGACCTCCAGTGTCCCAGAAGGTCAGCGAGAACCAACAATGGCTTAAGATAGCCAGCGGATCACCATACAAAGGCTATGGGCCATGGAGTGAGTGGCGGCAGCTGTGCCCTATGCCATCGCATAGGAACAGGGCCTGAGGGCTGAAAGCCCGAGACAAGTGGCGCTCAGTACCAGGTCTTCTAGAAACCACTTTCAAGACAACATGAGTCCTGGTTCGTGGTAGATGGCTAGAAGGGAAGGAGGGAATCTTACCAATAGGGTGAAGAGTCAGCGGACGTGACGGTGTTAGACAGGACAGGGTCCCAGCATTTCTCCAGATGCCAGTGGGGAGAAAACGCCAGAGGAAACCTGCCCAGTCAGGCAGCACCAATATAATGATACAGCGTGGGGCCTTTGGTGGGTTTGGAGCCAAGATGCCCCATGGCGGGTGGGAGACAGAGACACCATGCAGGCAGTGCTCAGTGAAGAGTTTTATTTGGTGGGGGGGAAGAGAGAGGGAAGAGGGGTGCACACCTTGTGGGAATGGAAGGAAAGAGAGAGAGGAGGGGGAGCTGTCTTTTTTAAAGGGGACTTTATGTCAGGACATAGGGCAGGTCCCCAAGGGGTGGGTCAGAATTCCAACAGCCTGTGTGCATGACTAAACACAGAAAAGTTCTTTTCAGGCAGGTTCTCTAGAGCTCTCATTTCAAAGCAGTCTTTCCAGTAGTTATAATGAACCATTGATGGAGGCCACCAGGCCAATTCCTAATGGCTTCCAGGTACTTTTCCTATTATCTCAAAGGCAAGTACTTGGCTTCCTTTTTAATGGTGCTAATTTCCTTACCAACCACAAACAATCCTTTTCTGTCCCTATCACAGGTTTTTTCTATTGCTTTTACTCTTGATTTTTGTTGCCAGGTTTCACTGTAAATTGGGCTGAAAGAAACTAGCAATATCCATGCCACAATGTGAATGCTTTATTCCCTTGAACGTTTTCTAATAGATTGGCAACTTGAAATTTAGCCTCACACAAACCCCCAGGGCATGGGTAGAATGTAGAGTCCTTTGCCAGAATTTAAGCTCATGGCCCCTTGTCCAGTTCCCAGTAGAGTTCTCATTTCCATTTGAAACCTCATGGGAACAGTTACTATCAGCGTTTCTGTTGGTATTCTGGATTTCTGAGCTCCCTTCATGACTTCCCACTAAACTCTGCTTGTGGCATTCTGGAGTTCTCTAGCCTGTATCTCCAAACTCTGCCAAGTTTCAACCATAATCCAGTTCCATAAGGTGCTGAACAACACAATCGGGAGCAGCCACAGTAACAGGGCTACTCACAGTATCAATGATTTTCCCTGTTAGTAAGTTTTCTGACAAAAGAAATGCTTTAATAAACAACTTTAGTGGGAAGGATTTATTTTTGCTAGAAGTTTCAGAGGTTTCAATCCTGTGAGGCAAAGCATAATGGCAGAGAGCTTGAGAGAGCAAAGCTGCTCATCTTACTGCAAATGGGAAATAGAGACAGCCAGAGAGCAAGGGTCTAGAGACAGGATATACCCCTCAATGACCTGTTTCCTGTATTACCACACCCTAAGCCCATTCAGCTATAATGCATCAAGGAGTCATTGAATTGGTGAGATTATCATTCTCATGATCCAACCACCTCTCAGCAGGGCTACCAGCTGGGGACCAAGCCTTCAATACATGAACCTTTAGGGACATTTTATATTCAAACCTCTCTGTCTGTCTCTTATAAAAAACCAATTGTGATTGCATCTGGGGTTCACATGAATAATTCCAATAGCCTTACCATCCTGAGAGCATTATATAATCACATCTGCTAGATCATTTGGCTGTATAACATAGCATCCATAGGCTATGATTACTAATCAGACTACTACAGTCACTAATTGGTAAGTGCTCACAAAGCAGACCTGCTATATTGTTTTCATTTTCCTAAGAAATCTCACCAAGCTGTTCTCTTTTCACAGGCTGATGTCAGAGTGACTTCTTCCAAAGAGAATTGCAGCCCCCAAACTGAAGCTGTATGGCCCAAGGACACTGTAGACAATGCTGAAAGTCTGTACCAACAAGCCCAGATGGGAAGCTTGCCTGGGACTATTCCAGAAAGTTCTCCACCTCCAAGTAAAATAAATGGGAGCATAAATTTAGGTAACCTTTGCCTCTGTTCTTGTTGATCTCTACTAGACATCTGGTAGACCCCTAAATATATAGTGTATGTATCTGATGGCCCATTGATCACTTCTTTTGGGGTCTTAGTGTACTTTAAACAGCAAAGTTCTTATCTCTAAGACATTAGAATTTAGTCTTAGGCCTTTATCATGTGAGTCACTAATGTTAGCCATTCATCTTATAGATGAAGTAATTAAAGTCATCTTAAAATGACAACAGCAAGAGCCCTGTTGAGAACTGAAAACAAATTTTAGGAGCAGAAATCACATGGCTTAAGGGAATGTAAGCCCCCACTGTATTGTTGTCTTCCTAAAGAAGAGGCTTACGTTTATAAGAATAAATAAAACCTTCATTAAACTGCCCCCTCCCTTGCCCCATCCACAACCTGAGCAAATACACAGTAAAAACATAAAAGGGGTCATTACGATCTGGTGTGCTATTTAAAGCGCTATTTGTGGCCCTTCTGATGCAATGCTGTGGTTTCCCTTCCTTCAAGCTCTTCCTTGCTGTTGAGTGATGACATCTTATTTGTAGTTGGTCTGCCTTTGGAACAAAGTGAACAGCACAGATCTGGAGGGAAAGAACATTGTTTTAGTTCAGGGAAAACTTTTGTTCCATGGCCCTGTTGTTTTTTCTCTCACTACAAGTTAAGATTGGAAAATAGCTGGGGTAGGGGCCAGTTGCTGGCTTAGTGGTTATGAGCACTTATTGCTGATACAGAGGACCTGGGTTTATTCCCAGCACCCATATCAGGTAACTCACTAACACCCGTAACTCCAGTTCCAGGAGATCTGGCTGATAAAATAATGTTTGCGTGTATGTGAATACATGTGTGGGTACAGGTACATGTGTGTGTGTGTGTGTATAGAGGCCCAAGGCTGATATCTTCTTCAATTGATGCCTCCCTTATAGAGAAAGGCAAAGTGCCTTGGGAAAGCCAGCACTTATTAACTAGCCATCTGGGGAGACAGGGAGTCCCTGGTTCTGCTTCCTGCGTGCTGGGATTCCAGGTGTAATATCACATTCACCCAGCTTTTATTCGGGTTCTTGGGGTACAAACTCCAGTCCTTATGCTTGTACAGCAAGTGCTTGTCCTGCTGCCCAGACACCTTCTCAGGCCCTTTTCTATATTTGAAGACTTTGATGTATTCCGGCCATTCATTTCCTACACTGTTCCTCCATTTGGGGTGTTTTTCTCTAAAGTTACTAAGTTATTGAGCATCCCCTTCAGATGGTGGTTAAACTCAGTTGTCAGCTCGACAAGGTCAACAAACCTAAGAGATGCCTGAGACAGACACATCTCAGCTGTGTCTGTGAGGATGATTTCAGAGTGGATGAGCTGCCGAGGGGAGACCCACAATGGATGTGGGTGGCACCATCCCATGAGCTGGGGTTCTAGACTGAAAGGAAAAGGGGAGGAATCCACCTGAGCACAGTCTGAATGTCTTGGTCAGGGCCACAGACCAATCTGCTCCCAATGTCACACCTTCATCTTTGAGATGATTGTGCTTCTCCCAACTGGGAGCCAAAGTAAAGTCTCCCTTCCTCCCTTAAGTCACTTTTTTTGTCAGCTCTTTGGTCACAATGATGAGAGAAGTCATGAGTGTACTTCATAACAAAATAGAAACATGATGTTATTTTTAACCCTGGCCCCAATATGCTACAATGTTTCAAGAAAACAGTAGAATGAGTTGGAATGATTGACATTTCCAAAGAATCTCTGTCTAGGATAGTTACTCTGCATGTAAAGACAAATACTTTAGTAGACTTCCAAGACACTGGGTTGGAATGGTTCCATTCACTTCTTGATGTTAGTGACATCCTTTTGGAAACATCGGGAAGAGAGATGGAGTACTTGTAGTTCAGCTACTCAAATAGCATAGTTAGGAGAGAGAATCGTGAGGATAAGAACTTGGTGTTGAAATTGGATTCAGTCCTTGTTACCAATCTAACTAGTCTCATCCCCTTGAGGCTATCCATGTGCCTATAGAGACAATAGCACCTCTCTCACAGATCCGTGTTTGAACTGAATGTTGTAGTTGGATGTTTTTACTCTTTGCTCTTTACTTTTTGGAGACCTGTCACCCAGCTCCCAAATGAATACACACAACACACAGAGAGACTTATTATTACTTATAAATGCCCAGCCTTAGCTTGGCTTATTTCTAGCTAGCTTTTCTTAAATTATTATCCCATCTGCCTTTTGCCTCTGGGCTTTTAGCTTTCTCTATTCTATATATCTTTCTTTACTTCTTACTCTGTGGCTTGCTGTGTAGCTGGGTGGCTGACCCCTGATGTCTTCCTCTCCTCCTTTTCTCATTCCTCAATCTTCTTTTCCCAAATTTCTCCTCCTATTTATTCTCTCTGCATGCCAACACTGCCTATCCTTTCTCCTGCCTAACTATTGGCTATTCAGCTCTTTACTAGACTATTCAGGTGTTTTAGACAGGCAGAGTATCACAGCTTTACAGAGTTAAACAAATGCAACATGAAAGAATGCAACAAATCTTTGCTAATATTCCACAACAGAACATAATACACAGAATATAAAGTGCTTAGCACAGTACGGGTAAATAGTTATTACTATGTTAATAGCCCTTCCTGGTAAGTCCACTTTTTTTAAAATTAGTTTTCATTTTGGCTTTGGGATAGGGTCTCAAATAGCCAGGGGTGGCATGAAATTCCTAATTCTTCTGCCTCCACCTCCTAAATTTTAGGCTTACAAGCATGTGTTCCCACTCTAGGAAAGGCCACCTTTTAACAATAATGATAAGAAAATCACTCTGATTCCATGGAGATATTTCCCTGTGACCTTTACATTGGATTTTTGTTATGTTACCAAGGTTCCAGTCTGCTTACATGTTTGAGCACTTTCTTGTTTGTTGTTGCTGTTTTTTGTTTTGTTTTGTTTTGTTTTGTTTTGTTTTGTTTTGTTTTGTTTTGTTTTGTTTTGTTTTTAGAGACAGGTTTTCTCTCTGTAACAGCCTTGACGGTCCTGGAACTCACAGAGATCTGCCTGCCTCTGCCACCCAAGTGCTAGGATTAAAGGTGTGCACTACCACTGCTCGGCTTGAATGCATTCTGTAAGACTCAGCACAGAGCACTTTGCAGTGATACTGGGCTCCATTTCACACACCCACAAGGCTGAAGAGCCAGCACTGGAAAGCACTGAGCTGCCTGGCCCTGTACTGACGCCAGGTGATGCTCAGTCGAGCACTCTCTTGTGACAGGTGGACTGATGGTTTGAAATGAGAAACAGCTGGGCAGCATGCACGCCATCTCTGCATATGTTTTCAAACCACAGAAACTCATGAAAGTTGTCTTTGTAACCACGGAGTTTAGGAACAGCTGTGAAAGCCTCCATCCACTGAACACAGTGGACTTTTTGAAGAGAGCTCACTTCAGAGGGCTGGCTCTGCACAGTGTCATTTCTGACTGGGGAAGCAGAAGCACCTTTGGGCTAACAAGCCTGCACCCTTTATTTTATGATCTAAAGGTGCAGAGGTGGCAGGTTCTGCTCATGGATGAATTGCGATGGGGAGCCCTGTCTCAAGAGTACAGGTCATTAATCCACTCCTGTAACCGGCTCCAGGGTTCATCTTTAAAATCATTAATAAGATCTTAGCTGGTCTGGAGTTCTGGTCCCTTTCAAGGGCTCTTTCCAGAAAGGCATGCTTTCCCTCTGTAGATTTAGCAGATGGTGAAACTGTATACCAGGGTTGCAGAACCCGACAGCCCTTGGCAACTTCACACTGTTTACCGTTTGTATACAAAGCATAGAAACCAAACTGCAGCTCGGAAGAGTCACCAGAAGAATGTCTCCAGCCTCAGCTGCAGTTGAATGCTGTAGTTAGTGGAGCAAATCAGAGTCATCTGACCCGAGTGTATGAATGTTGTTACAACAAAGAGGCTGCACATAGCAGCGTGGGGACCGGACTTGATTCTGTTCATATGACGCTCGCTTCATACAGAATAGATTGTGCTGATGTGTTTGTTCTGCAAAGACAGCATAAACTTGAACTTCAAAGAATTACAGAGCTTTATAGTGGAAACCAGATCCTGGGGCTGTAGAGACAGGCATTATCAACCTGAGTTCAGTCCTTGGAATGCCCGCGGTGGATGGGCAGAACCAGCTTCCCCAAACTCTCCCTTGACCTCTACACTCATGAGGTGACACACATGCACACATTAAATAAATAAGTAATAAATAATAAATAAATAAACATGATAAAATTATTTAAAAAGAAACCAGATATCTAGACAAAAGATGTTGAGACAAGATTTGGTTCGGTGACTTACATAAGGTACTCATTGAGAGCTTTAAATTATTTACTTTGTGCATGTATGTGTGTGAGGATGGTGTGTGTGTGTGTGCTGTGTACCCTGGACCATGTACAGGTGCACATGGAGCTAGAAAAAGGTGTCCCAGTGTCCTGCTCTACCACTCTGCACCTTGTTTTCTTGGTGGACCTGCAGCTAGACTGAAGGGCAGCAAGCCTCGGTGGTCCTCTTGGCTCTATCCCATGTTTCCCTACAAGTGCTGGGGTTGTGGGCATGATAACTATGCCAGACATTTAACATGGGTGCTGAGGATTTGAACTTGGGTCCTTGTGATTTCACAATAAGCTCTCTTACCACAGAGCTATCTCTCCGGCCCCCATTTAGCACTGAGAGATAAACTCTTTATTCTTAAATTTCTTTTTCTTTATGCTTTTCCTTTTAGATGACACAGTGGCCAATGGAATAATCAATAAAACCCAACTCCTGGAAAGTCGGGAGAGACCAAAGTCATCAGACATCCTAGAAGAGTTAATTGTCCAAGGAATCATACAGAGCCGAAGCAAAGTATTTAGAAATGGAGAGTCATATGATGTCATGGCAAGTGATTTTGTAATTAACATTTGCTTATACTTAAAATTAGCGATAAAATATGATTGATCACAACTCATTATTTCCAGTATATAGGACCTATAGTATAAGTGATAGCATTAGTCTAAGCCAGATTTTTCCTGTATAAATTTGCTTATTTCTCTGCACACTGTGATTCTCAGTGGATTCAGAATCACCCCAACCATTAATGATTAATGAAACCAATAAAGCATTCTTCAGGCTTTACTAAATGTGGGCATAATAAGTCCCAGGAAATAACGACCTTTCATCCTCTCAGCAATTTTTATTAAGCATTTTCTTGTAGAATATAAAGCTAAACTGTGGTTTATCCAAAAGGAAAAACTGCCAATGCTCTAGCAGGTATGCCTACTTACAACCATGAGGAAATCAGAAGGTTCCAGAAATTGTCATGCTGTTTCTTTTCTTTGTTGATTCAACTTGTTTTAATTGTCATTGTTTGACATTAATGTGAAAAACATTTTCCCTCTGATTTTAACTGCAAGTCTGCAGCTCTAAATTTTTACTTAAGTGAACTTATGTGTGTGTGTGTGTGTGTGTGTTACGCGCACACGCACACATGCATGTGTGTACATGGCATACATGTGGAGCTTAGAGAACAAGCTCAGATGCCTATCTTCCAGTGCTTTCTGTCTCTACTTGAGATAGGGTCTCTCATTGGCCTGGAACTTGCCACATAGGCAGCCCCCCCGCCCCCCCCCGCGCCCCCAGTATCTAGGGATCCTCCTGTTTCCTACATCCATCTCATCACTGGGATTATAGGTGTGTCCCAATGTGTCCAGCTTTTTACAGGAGTTTTAAGGATCCAAAATATCTCAGGTATTCACTCAGGCTGAACCATGTCTGTGGCCCTAAAATTTTTAATATGTTCTGTATAAAACTCTAGAGAGAACTAAGTATTTTGTTTGTTTTTAAACCAAGGCACCCAGTTAGCACTTGACACACAGACAAAAGAGAGGTTAGATTGGGGGCAGGGGAGAAAAGGAGCCTGAGGGAAAAGAAAAGGAAAAAACAGAAAGGTGAAAGTAGAGACCAGAAGTTTAGTCAAAGCTGTATAGAAAACAATTGGTAATGATTACCTCAACACAGTCTGTAGGTCAGTTCACTAGCTTAAGCAGTTAGTGAATTGTATAGGGAATACTCAAGGATTAAAACCAAAGTGACATTCTTTTTATTCAGAATGAAGTAGGGCCTATGGAAGGTATGTGCAGAAAGGAAAAGAGAATGCCAGACATCGAGACTATCATCAGACAGCCAACACTAAGAAGAAATAGGAAAAGGAGAGGGTAAAAAAGGAATCATCTAACATCGTTTGATGCTTAATCTTAATTGTCAACTTGATGAGTTCTGGAATCACCTGAGAAACTAGTCTTTGGACATGCCTGGGAGGGTGCATCTTGATTATGTCACTGGAGGTGGGAAGAACTGCCCCCTGTGGGTAGCACCATTCCCTGGGCTGGGATTCTAGACTGTAAAGAAAAGAAGTGAGCCGAACATAAGCGTTCATCACTCTTTTCTTTTGGGCTGTGGATGCAGTGTGACCAGCTGCCTCACTTTCCTGCAGTCAAGGCTTTCTGCCATGATGGTCTGTACCTGGAGCTGCGAGCCAACAAATCCTCCGTCATGAAGTTCCTTACATCAGGGTATTTTATCACAGTCATGGAAAAGTCAAATGTCATTTGACATTCCCACAATATCACCACAATCCAACAGTTTGGGTGATGATAAATATCTGGTTGTATTTGAAAATACGAGAAAAACAGCTCTGTAATAAGCAAGAGGAGAGGCTATTTTTCTAGCTATAGGTGAGTCTCTGGGGACAGAGAAAAGAAAACGATGTCAAAATATGGGAGAGCAATTCAAATGGAGGAAGACATAAGGAAACACTCCGTTGCTAAGAGATGCCTCCTTAAGGGAGATGCAGTAACTCCTTGATGCTAACACCAGTGGGAATAAAATTACAACTTACCTTAGTGAGCCAGTCGCCAGAGGTGAATGAGTTCTGACTTCTAACAAGGGAGTGCACAGGATGAGTGCATATAAGATATTGTGGAAGAGATCTATTCATGACAGTGGTGGGTGTGAATTTTGATATCATTAAGTGTATTAAGGTTCTAGTATAGCATATGATGGGATGGGACAAGATAGGACAGGACAGGACAGGGAGAATGAACAAGACCTCCTCACAAGGATTTCATGTCACAGGCCACAGGTATACCACAAGTCTTTGTCTCTCTCTGGTGTTAGACCCACATGACCCAGTGTAAGCCAGGCTTGCAAGAGGCCAGAGCAGCAACACCCAGCCCTGTTTGCTTGGTAACCCAATGCTCTGGGTTTTACCCTGACGTTGGAGTAAGTCACATAGGAAGATTCCAGAACTCCCAGGACCCCGATCCCACCTTGGACTAGTGCCTGAGCATCAGGTTTGGCTTTCATGCTTTCAGAATCTTCTAGATGACTCTGTGGGTAGCCCAGTCCAAGACCTACCCCTCTGACCACAAACCTGCACATGAAGCCGAGTTCATTATCAGGTGGGAAGGGCTGAAGCATTTGTAATTGTAGTCCACACTCCTTTCTTGTAAAAGGGAATTCTGAAATAGTCTGGAAAATACATTTTCACGAAAAGAGACCAAGATTGTCCCCAGAAAGCCTCTGGAATAAGGAGGAATTTTGGGTGCTGGGGTCACAGATGAAGCCTCTTCCAGCTCACATGAGCTTGAGTGTGTAACACAGCACACGCCTTAGATATTTGGGGGAAAGCTGGGGACGAATATAAAAAGATCACAGTTAAAACTGAAGGGTGAAGCCGGGCGGTGGTGGCGCACGCCTTTAATCCCAGCACTCAGGAGGCAGAGGCAGGCGGATCTCTGTGAGTTCGAGGCTAGCCTGGTCGCCAAAGTGAGTTCCAGGAAAGGCGCAAAGCTACACAGAGAAACCCTGTCTCAAAAAAAAACAAAAAAAAAAAAAAAACTGAAGGGTGGGTGTGGGTCATATAAAGTCTGAGAAGTTACACTGTTAACACTTTGAAGCAGTCGGCATTTTTTGGAAAGCTTCATAATTGACTGAAAATCGAACCAAGGAATCAAGGGAAATACAAAGGAAATGCCAGCAGTTATCATGGTGTGAGGCATCCAGTCAAATGTTCCAAAGCGTTTCTTGCCTGCTCTAGGGAATTCTGGCTTTGTGTGCTTTTGTTTTCTGAGGCAGAGTCTTGCTATGCGGCCTAATTGCTCTCAAACTCTCTGCCATCCTCCTGGCTCAGCCGACCAAGTGTTAGGATTACAGTTGTGTGCCACCATGCCTAGCTGGGAAAAAATTAAATAAATGCTGTGGGGGAGCTAGAATAAGTGTGAGATACCTTAAAAATAAGACTTACGGTGTGGGGCGGTGCCATTCACAAACACAGAGGAACACTGGACATAACTCTGTCCTCTTCCTGGCCTCTTCTTATCCTTCACTGTGGTTTCCCTTGAAGTATAATAAAGAACACTCAAAGTGAGGCGCCGCCACTCTTCTGAACTGGGGCATCTTAGGAAACCAGTCCTTCCCCACTTGTCCATGGTATCCCTGTGCCCACCACAGCTCCCCTTTCATCTCTTTTGCCCGATTTTTATCACTTATGTAGTCCTCTCTGGAGAAACAGTTCTCAAGAATGTTTGTGCTTTGAACCGAAGGCCCCTGAAAAGGCCACACCTGCTTATGTTAAAGATTCTGCGTTTTGACTGACTAGAACATGGTGAGTGTGGAGAGTTGGATTGCTGCAGATTGAGAGCCTGTCTTTAGTCCTCTTCATAACCATTGATGGTTCCCCCTCTGTCTCTGACCTGGCATCCCCTTCACTTTTAGATGAACCCTTGGAAGGCATCACTAAATCTGACATATCTAGCCTCCACCAGTCCAGAAGCTAAGAGTGTCATCAGTTAGCATCTAAACCGACACCACGGATTTCCCTGCTTTGCTGGGCAGTGCATTTGGTAAATGCGTTGACTGTCTTTGTTCTGCTACCATAAGAGTTGATGTAAGCACTTTCATGAGACATGCATCATTCAGTGCACCCTGAATGCATGTGCCCAGGCCATGGCCATTCATATTTTGCTCAGCATAAACTAGCCCTCATTCCCATTGGAGCAAAAGTTATAGTAGAAGATTCTGTGCTTACATAAGACTTAAAATGGTATGAAATAAATATTAAGAAGGAGTTGGGGAGATGCCTCAGCAGGTGAGTGCTTGATGGGCAAGCATGAAGACCTGCGTTCAAATCCCCAGCACCCACGTAAAAAGCCAGGCGTGGTGGCTCAAGACTGCAACCCAGTTCTTGGGAAACAGAAATAGGCAGATCCCTGGAGCTGATTGATTAGCTGGACTTGAAGAATTGGTGAGCTCCATGTGTGCCAGCTAGTTCTATGTCAACTTGACACAAGCTAAAGTCATCTGAAGTTAGGGGACTTCAATTAAGAAAATGCGTCCATGACATTAGGTTGTAGGGCATTTTCTCAATTAGTGACTGATGGAAGAGGGCCCTGCCCATTGTGGGTAGTTCCAACCCTAGTCTGGTGATCCTGGTTTCTATAAGAAAGCAGGCTGAGCAAGACATGAGGAGCAAGCCAGTAATCAGCACTCCTCTATGGCTTCTGCATCAGCTCATTTCCAGGTTCCTGCTCTTATTGAGTTCCTGTCTTGACTTCCTTCAATGATGAACAGTGCTATGGAAGTGTAAGCAGAATAAACCCTTTCTTCCCCAAGTAGCCTTCCATTACGGTGTTTCATCACAGTAATAGTAACACTAACACATTCTGTCTCAAAAAATAAGATTGAAAGCAATAGAGGAAGTCACTCAACATCGACCTCTGGCCTCCATATGTGCACACACACATATGCATGCATACCTGTGCAACATGTGTGCACATACACAAACACAATTACATACATATGGAGAGGGGTGTTATTGCCTCCAGGTGGCTGTAGTCCCAAACTCACGTCCCTGCATCTCTTAGCATAACCTGGCTTCTTTCCACAAACTAGGCGAATTCTTTACTAATTCTTCCTATCTGGTCCAAGTTTATTGTCATCTCTGTTTCTGAATTGGGTCACCTTTGGTGTGGATAAGGGATCCACATTGCATCAGAGTCTCCAATATTATTTGCTGAGCCTTATAAAGAGGAAAAGGAGGAAGCTGGGTGAGTTAGAACTCAAAAAATATCAGTCAGTGGTCAGAGTGACCACCCTCACCGAGGTCTAGAGGCCAAAGAACGGGAATGACCAAGTCTGCTGCAGGGAACTTCTGCCTCTTCTGTGCACGAGACTCCCTTAGCGAGCATAACCAAGGTGGGTTCATTTGTAGGTGAAGAGATAATTAGGAAAGCTTTAAGGAACATGCATCGGATGTAAGACAGGCCTGTGCATGTTAGCTTGGCCAAAACGCAACTCAAATCTTAGCCCCAAATGTTGCACTCGGGACTGTCAGTTCTCTGATACTGTTCTCAAAGAAAGCAACTTAACTAATAATAGCATTGCTAGACTTCTGAGGCTTGGGGTCTAGACATCTCTGTGTATAATGTGAGCATTGTTATCACTGGTAAGGGCCACCATTTCATAGATTCTGCCTACCTGAACTTCATTTGTAAAGAATACACATTTGTTTATAGCAGTCTTTGAATTTTGCTGTCTGTCTGTTTTAAAGCAAGGTTTCATGTCACCCAGGCTGGCCTTGAACTCACTATATAGCCAGTCATGGTCTCACTGCTTCCACCTTTGGAGAGCTGGACTTACAGTCATGTAGTATCATGCCTGGTTTATGCAGTACTGGAGATTAAAACAGATCTTCATTCAGGCTAGGCAAGCACTCTACAAACTGCACCCAAAGCCAGATCATTATGGTGGTGGTTTTAGCATAACATTCAAACTCAAGAAAGGACAAGGGCCTCAGAGATAAGAGTCCATGTTCCAAAGAGTGACAGAAGGTAAATTCACAGGCATTATTTAGGGATAAGTCAAGGGAAACATCTCTCCCAATCGGAAAAGCGAAACTGCTCTCAGAGCCCTTTACTGGCCTCATGATTTCTGTTAAGGTTTAGTGTAAATGGAGGCAGAACTTTGGTCCAGTATGCCTGATTATACCTGGAGGCCACTTCCCAAATTACCACACAGAGGCTTATATTAATTAGAAATGTTTGGCTGATGGCTCAGGCTTATTATTAACTAGCTCTTACATTTAATTTAACCCGTTTTTATTCATCTACATTTTGCCACATGGCCATGGCTTTACTAGTCCTCCGGCATCTTGCTTTTTAGGAAGCTTGCAGCATCTGTCTCGACCCCCTTCTCACCTCCCACCTCCACCCTTCCTCTCAGTCCTAGTTTGATTTTTTCCACCTAACCTTATCCTGTCTTGCCATGGACCAAAACGACTTTACTATCAACCAATGAGAGAAATACATATTTGCAATGTACAGAAGGACCATCCCATAGCAGTTCAAACTGCTTTGTGATGTCTGGTGTGCCAGTCCCTCATTGGCTCTTGGATTGTCATTTTCTTTTAGCCTTCTGTAAGTGAACATCCCTAAAAATGTTTACATATTAATTTCAAAGTATCTCAAGTTAAGCCTCCCTAGCAAGTATGTCCCTCTTTCCATCAAGTAGCTTTTGCCAGAAGGAAGCTTAAGAACCAAATGTTATAAAAATGATATAAATAATGACTGAGGGTACTTGCTTTAATGAGTAGCTCGGTTCCCATAGTGGAAAACCTCATACTACATAAACATCCAGTGGTTATAAAGAGCGACAATCTCAATGAGGGTTTTCCTTTTTAAAGGCTTTCTGAGATGAAGCTGGAAGGATAGTTCATTGCTTGAGAGAACTGGCTGTTCTTCCACAAGTCCTGGGTTTGATTGCTAGCACCAATGGTTTATAGCCATAGCCATTTGTAACTCTAACTCCAGCAGACCCAGTGCCCTCTTCTAGTCTTTTAGGGCACAACATGTACGTGGCACACAAATATACATGCAGACAAAACACCCATAATAAGATGAAAAAGACTTTAAGGACTTTCTGAGGATCCTAGATCTCAAAGATAGAAACAGCAACCCTCTCTCCTGCCATCACTGTATAGTGAAGAGAACTGCATTCCAGAAGAATGTCACCTCGGACACACAGTGGTTGTTAGTAAGAGAACGCACTGCTTCATCACTTCCTCTTCCCGTGTCTCATCTGCTCCTGGCACCCTTCCTGTTCACACATGCCATTGTGACAATTCTGGGGGCCATTGTGATGTAATGGGTTGCCCCTGAAAGCGGGCCCCGGTTTCCTGAAAAGCAGTTGCCCTTCCCGAGTGGGCATCGCAGGCTTTCTTCTCCCTTGAAAACAAACAAGAACAAAACCGGATCCTGTGAAATAAGGATCGTTAAGTCTGTGTTGCTGATGAGGACATCAGGCTCACAGAGTGTACGAGCAGCTCGTGGAAAGTCACTTGTGGGATCGGAGGGCAGGTCTGGGTCCCATCACTGGCCTTTCTCTTCTGTTAAATGCCTGTTCTTTGTCTGCCTGGTTTATTTTCCTGACTTTGAAGAGTCAGTCTTTGGGAAATTATAATAAATATTGATAGCTCCGCTGTTTTTAAAGAGAAATCTCTAGAGAGATTATCCAGAACAGTATATTGGTTCATTTTATAGTGAAGACTTGGAGTTTATTGAAGAATTCCTGCAGTCTTAATAAATCTGTGTATGGTGACCTAGAGAGATGTCCATATTAAATGAAGGATGTAAACATGGGAAGTGTGTATGGCACAATCATATTTAGATCTTATTTAGTATTGCAGATACCATGCATCTGTATGTGTGTGTACATATATATGTATATATGCATATGGACATGCATTACAGAGAATATCTGGAAAGGTCCACAAACTCTTTTAAAAAGGTCCCTGCTAAGGGGCTGGGGAGATGGCTTGATGGGGAAAACAATCCCTGGGGACCTGAGTTTGGCTCCCCAGGGCCCACATAAAGGAGGATGTGGTCACTCATGTGTATATACTCCCAACTCTCCTCGATGGAAGGTGGAGACAGACAGGTCCCCCGAATCTCTTGGGCTAGCGATCCTGCATATGCAACAGTGAATAAGCAGCCCTGTCTCAAGGTGAAAGCTAGGCTGGCCATCTGAGGTTGCCCTCAGACCTTTATCTGAGTATTATAGTGTGGGCATACCTGCACTCACACACACACACACACACACACACACACACACACACACACACAGATTCATAAGATAGGTTCCTACTGAGGGATATGGTTGGAGTGATTAAGTAGAGGGTTAGGAGGGTGTTTGTATATTGTTTTAATTGTCCATTGTAAATGCATATTGTAAACTGTAATTATTTTGGAAGAGAATACAAGTTAAAACTTTGTAGCCCTTTACTGTAATTTTACTTTTTGTAACTAGATGCATAACTAGAAAGTCATTATCACTTTTCTGAACTGCTGAGAGAGTAGTCATTCATATAAAATGGGAAAGTTTTACTGTTGTCATGAAAATATTTGTCAAATGCCAATAGCAAAGTCTAGCATAGAGTTGTTGCTCAATAATAATTAATAATCTCTCTCCATCATTAGACCAAAAAGTAATAAAAGCTAGTCTCTGTCCAAGTGAAAAGAATTGGTTACACACAGAATATTATGAAATCAATCGCTGTCGTTGAAGATTATAGGTCAATTGACTAACGTTAAACTCTGAGTTTCCTACATTGAGCTAGACTTTCACACACACACAAATAATAATAATTATAAATATAATTTTGCTCCTACAGATTTCAAGTTTCTATTGCATTCATCTGCCACTAGAAAGTTTAGATTCTGAAATTTGCATTTTAAACTGCTCTTCTCATCTGTTCATCTCCTAGGCCACGGTAATAATTGCTTCTCCATTAAAAGCAAAATGTCTTCCTCCAGGTGGACACTGCTGAAAAGCCACTGAGAAAGCCACCGGCCAGACTGAAAAAGCTTAAGGTGAAAAAGGAGGTAAAAGATTTCACAATCCAAGACATAGAAGAAAAGATGCAGGCGGCCGAGGAACGCCGAAAGGTTAGAGCTGTGGATGCTAGTCTGAGGGGCAAGGCGGCGGAGGAACGTCTTAAGGTTTGAGCTGTGGATGCTAGTCTGAGGGGCTGAGCTGTGGATGCTAGTCTGAGGGGCTGAGCTGTGGATGCTAGTCTGAGGGACTGAGCCTTGGATGCTAGTCTGAGGGGCTGAGCCATGGATGCTAGTCTGAGGGGCCAAACCATGGATGCAAGTCTGAGGGACTGAGCCGTGGATGCCAATCTGAGGGGCTGAACCATGGATGCAAGTCTGAGGGACTGAGCCTTGGATGCTAGTCTGAGGGGCTGACTGCCTGCTAAAATGAGCTGCTGCCAGACCTTGCCAATCAGCAGCCTCGAGACAAAATGAGTGCACTGATCCACTGCATCTCAGTGAGCTGAGTGCTTCTTGTGCTGTGCACTTTGTTGGTGGTTTTTTTCTCAAAACTTACTTTTGTGTTGTACAGGAATGAAGCAGCACTGTGAACTTAGTTAAAATTTGTTGTTTCAGCTATATGGCCTAAAAGAACACTATTCAATTCTCTGAATTAAGTCAAGTTTGGGGGAAATTCCCACTGGGGTGAGAAGGAGGAGGACAAGCAGAGTAGGGATGGGTACTGAGCTGAGAGTGGGTTCTAAAGACCATCAGATCAGCTCCTGCCTGCACTTTTAAGCACTAGAGCCCACAAGCCAAAACCCGTTGTTAGGGATACAGCATTGGTCTAGTCTCCTTCATTTTGCCTCCCTTTGGTAGCCTTGGGTGCAAGGACCAGACTATAAACTCTATGAGGGTAAGCCCTATGTTTGTCTCTTTCAACATGGTTCCCCAACGATCATCTGTTCCAAGACTAAGTAGTTAAATAGAAAAGTGAAAGTGATCGTGACAAGCAAGATGAATGAGAACGTGAAGAAAATCACACCACCAGGGCTCTTTTTCATTCTCTAGTATTGCTTTTCAGACAAAAAATGAAGAAATAAGAAAACGGCTACGAAGTGACCGACTTCTGCCCACCGCTAATTCTTCAGATGCAGCTGAACCAGGAAGGGAGGAGGCTCTGTTTGCAAAAGGTCTCCCAGCTGTGAGCACCCCTACTTTGCAGAGGTCCTACGTGCAGGAAGGAGAGCCACTGAAAAGGAAGAAGAGTGAAAATGATGTGGCCCCGATGATCAGGAACGACCCCTGCGCAGGTTTGGGGATTGTGGAGTCAGACATGTATTACAACCAAGAGGATGACATATTCTAATACTCCGTTTTCAAAAGGAATCTCACAAAGTGGTCCATTCTCTCGTGGCCTTTAAAAAGTGACTGGGCTCTACAGTTGACACTTCAGCCCGGGGTGGGGGTGGGGGTGGGGAGGTTAAGGATGATTGATTGTATGAGCAGCAGGGGATGAATTTTAGTTGAGTGAATTAAAGGCTATACTTACCAAGGAGGGGTGGGGAGTCCCAAGGCTGGCGTTCTCCTAGAGAGTGGCTTCCAGTGTTAGGTAGAGGCCTTAGATTCAGAAGTTCCTGCCAGCTCCCATGAAGATGCTTGTGCCAAACGAAATTCTCCCTTTTCATTTCTAACCTTGGCTGCACTCACGGATGAATCTTTCATGACAAGTTGCATAGATGAGTGTTATATATTTTAATAATCTGTGTGTTTCTCACATTTTAATTCTTCGCTGTCAAAAAAAAAATAAAGCAGTATCTTGAAGTTGGCTTAGTTCCAATTTTATCTGTATAATTTAAGTCATCTATATCCAGTGGTCAAAGTAATGTCAGGTATGAAGAGTGAGGATTAGTGTTCTGTGGGCGAGCACTCAGATATCACGTCAGCTGCCCCGGGTTCCACCCTTACCACCGAAAACAAAACAGAGAATTGTGTAAAGCATCGTGTGCTTTTTGTGCTGAAGAAGAAAAGCTCTGATTGGGGCGGAGTAGGAGGAGCTAAGGGGACTGAGAGTCAGCCCCGTGGGGCCCCTTTCCCCGCTGGCTCTCTGAGCTCCAGAGTTTGCTACCCCCACCTTTCTGGGATTATTTCTTTGTTCTCTGTCACTTTTACCACCAGTCAAGAATCAGGTCTGCCGAATTTACATTCTGAAGATCTCATCCATTTGTTTCACATTTTTCTCCTGCCCCTACTCACCTTAGTCTACCTTATCCATCCTCAGTCAACAGTTTTTCTCAACCTCTATACAACTGAGGTCTGTTTAAGACCTTTGCTCCACCCTGCCTG